GCGGCCGATGGGCGTACCGCTGGGGGCGCTGAGTACCAGTGTCCGGAACCTTGGGCGGGGGGATTACGCGGGTCGGTCCAAGGGAAAAATGGGAGGCGCTCGCGTCGGGAAGGGTTAACTTGTCGCCTAGAGTCGCGGGGACGGGGAGGAGGGATAACCGCCGGGCCAGCAGGTGCCCTCTTCAAACGCGGGGTACCCTGTTTTAGAGCCTCGTCTCCTCTCACACGTGCGAGTGGAGTTTGACTGTGTTCGGGGTGAAACTGCGTCACGTCGTGTGCGGCGTGATGCGGTGGTCCCGTAAAATACCTGGCGTCTGCGGGGGGCGGAGGCTACCCGATGCTCCGCTCGCTGTTTGGCGCTGGGGTTGGAAGTGGGGAGGCTGCGGGTGGCCTGCACACTCGGGAAGCTGCTTAAGAACTGGCTGCCTATCCAAAGCGTCTCCCCCTGGGGGGAGCCACGTCGAGGCAATGAAGTAGGGCTTGCTAGAGGCTCCGCTACGAGCGACCTCGGTCTTGTCCAGTTAAGTCTACGTCACTACGGTGAGTCGGGCGGACGAATGTCCCTCCGGAATGAGTGGCTGTAACTCGGTGGCTTCGGACACAGCGGGGTCTGCGAAGTCCTCTGTCGGATGCCGCACGGCCCCAGCCCAGGCATCACGGTGGGGGATGGAAACCACGAGGTGGTGTCTCGACTGCGGAGACAGCCACTAACACCCGCAATTGGAGATAAGGGGGAAGGGGTGTTACCGCCTGGGCGATCTTCTGGAGTGGAGCGCACAGGGCGAAGGTACACGGGCCGGAAGCCGGAGGGGGGCTGAAGGCTCAGGGTGGGTGTTGTTGGTGTGTGAGTGTGTGTGCTTCTGTGTGATAGCCTATCGTCACTCTGCGCCTAGGGCATACCTTGGGCTCAGAAGGGGCGTAGGGGCTACCCGCTGGGTGAGCGTGCTTTTTCAGAGGGGAGAAATGAGGCACAGGAGTCTCATCCTCTATTTAGGGGTCCTTTCTGGGTACGGGCTAAGCTGTCGTGTTCGCCGGGTTGTGGCGCCCGGGCAGGTACGCCCCCCGATGTGTGCCGCGGGCTGGCGTGGCCGCTGCCTTAATCGGTGTCCCAGTGGGAAACCTCAACGAGCGGGACCGGCCGTGTCCTTGTCCCGTAAGTCCAGGATACAGTCTTGGCTGAGGGAGCGGCAACGCTGGTATCAAGGAAAGGTGGGTTGGTTGCGTGCGGGTGCGGTTTCGATCATGCCTTCAAACAACCTCTCCCGCAACATCCATGGGAAATGGCACTGGAGTCACACTTCTCAGTAATTTATTCGGAGAGTGGGATAGCCGGGTGCACGGTGGATGGTCATAGTCGGCAACGGGGGGCGCGCCGGTAATCCGCTATGGCAACGCTGGAGATCCACGCTCCCTGATCCGTTAAACTAAGTCTTCTATGCACCTAGTGCAAGCTCGGCGGCAGTACCTTTCGGTTTCGGCCGAAGGGGATGCCCCTATCCGAGGATCGCTGGCGAACGGCGGCAATGGGGAAGGATAACCCCCACAGAAAACCGGACCGCAATGGGCTGCAGCCCCGCGGTTGCTAGAGGGGGTCAAAAGACCCTCCACTGCGAGGGAGCCCGGCAACTTCCACAAGGCCGATGGACCTAATTGCCGGTAGGGGTTAGCGGCCCTGACTTCAATCGCCCGGCCGGCTGGGGCCATTAGGGGGAGCTTGCTCCGCCACCAGCCATTGGGATGGGACTATGTGGTTGGGGGAGCCTCCGCTCCGTGACGGATGGTTCCCGCACGGGGGAGGAGAAGGTTTCATATGAATAGGCATTGCACGTCGGTGCTCCGGCAGCCAAAAGCGTGGGACATCCGCGATCCGTCCCTACTTGGGCCTCGGCCTGGGTAGGGTGGGGAGAGGAATCCACATCCGGGATTGCACGTCGGGAGCTACGCTTCCGACAACCCGGGAAGTGGAAAGGTGCGCGGGCCACTCGGACGTATTCCGAGGTCAGGGTTGTGCACTCTGGGATGGTTGCCCCATCGGAACTACGGAACTGGAGGTTCTCGGGGCCGGCGGGACGGGAAGTGGAGTCGCGGAGATCGGTACATTGGTTCTTTCCACATTCGTGGAGGGGTGCTGCACCTCGGCAACCCTGCGACTTCTTCTGGTCACGGCCGTACGCCACGGCGTGAAAGGCCGTGAAGGCCCCCCCCCCCCTTGTGGGCAGCTGCGCACGGGGAGCATCAGGGGTCTGCGTCATATTTGCCAGGATCCTTACAGCGCAGATCCGACGTCAGTCGGGACTGACTATATCGTAATCCCGGGGATCGTTATGTTTATGACGTACCCCTGGGGAACGAGGGCCCTGGCCTAATCACCTGAGCTGCGAGGATGGGGACCTCTATAAAAAAAAAACTCCCCAAATCCTAAGTTTGGGAGCCGCGGCGATGGGATGAGTGGCCGGCGGGTTAGCCGGGCGCGAGCGATCCACCCCGGGGCACCTGGCGCACCTTGGGCGTATGTAGCCAGACTCCGAACGAGGGGGCACCGTTCGGAGGGTACATATTTACCCCTATTTTTAGGGCCTCTCCCGTAAGCCTTCGGGTGATAAGGGAGAGGCAACCCAAAAATGACTCACCATCACAACGACGAGAAGGGCAGAGAGGAAGGAGAGAAGGATGCAAACGCGTCGCCAGCGGCTGTGCAAACATCGCACGTGGCAGGGCCGTCCAGCAGCCCTGCCGGGACCGGAGGATCGGTCCGCGCTGAAGAAGGGGTAGGATCTGGCAAAAAATTTGCCAGACCAGGTGCACCCTCTAGTCCGCTCTGCAGCAAGTGTGGACCTGCGCGACGAACTAGTTCGCGCACATGGGCTAGGAGCCAGGTCAGAGCTGACGAACGGGCTCCGAAGAAGACCCGGTCGACTTTGCGGGGAAGCTCGGGAAGCCGGAAGAGTCGGCCAAAGGTCCAGTCACCGGGACACAGTAAGAGGTCCCGGGACAACTCGGCGGACGATCGGGCGTCCTCAACAGAGAGAGCGGCGGCTCAGGACGGAACGGGCCGCGGTGGTTGAGGAGGAGGTGGAAACACCTGCCTCTGCGGAGACCACCGCGGGTGAGTTCCGGTCACCAGCCCGGGACTCGCCTGGTCTTGCTCTCGAGACATCGGGGGTAAGGAAGCAGGGTCGGCCGTGTAAGGACTCCTCCCACGAGGGTAACTTTACGATCGACAAGATGGCCATCAGGGAGCGGAAGGCGGCCAGGGTGGTGGAGTTCGCCACCGACAACACACGGAAGCCGTACGGTCGCAGAGCGAGCAGGGCGGAAAAGAATGAAGCCAGGCTCGTCTGCGACCACAGGGTGATGGTGACAGCGGAGGTGTCCACTCGACTGTACAGGTCGGTAGACATCGTAAAGAAGGTTGCGCAGAAATCCAGCAACCTGAAGGGTACCCTCCTGGGCGAGCTGTGGGCGGCGGCCGAAGAGTTATCGGCCTGTGGCACCACGCTCGCCGTGAGGGCCCAGAAGGTTGCCGGGCAGCCGGAGTCCACGGCTCAGGCCGAAGCTCGCGAGAGGGAGGCCCTGTGGAGGCAGGAGTTCGACGAGCTGAGCTCGCAGAACCGTCTCCTCAAAGCAAGGCTCGACGAGCTAGAGAGAACAGGAGTGGCGGCGTCCCCCCATCGGAGGGACGGGGCAGCCGGTCCTCCTACCAGACGGCCGGCCGAAAGAGGTCGACCAGGACGGCGAATCCGGGCTTCTTCTCGGAGGAAGAGGTAGCCCAGAAAAATAAAAGAAGGGGCAGGGTGATGTCCCTTCTAAGGTCCCCCTCCCCCGGGGGACAACACGCTCCGATGGAGGTGGAGGCGGATGGCGGGTACGAGGAGACCCGGGCCGGCCCCCTCCGCGGGACGAGCGAAGAGAGGAAGACTCTTGAGGGAGGAGGTCGATAGGAACCGGAGGGACGGTAAGTCCCTCCGGCCTACAGACCCTCCCTCTCGGAGGAAAGACCATCCCCCTCCCTGACCAATGGGGGCAGGCAGGATTGGCCAAGGCCCCCCAAGACAGAGGTGGCCGCGCGGAGCTGTGGGGGCCAAGACAAACGTCATGCCAATAGCAGTCCCAGCCCAAGCAGGGGCAGCAACAAAGCCCCCAGCAGTCCCAGCAAAGGCGACAACGAGAGGAAGAGCCGCGGCAGCAACAACAGCCGCAGCAACGGCGGCCTCTCCCCCCTCATTGGGCATGGCGGGACGCGCCTGGAGATCGGGGAGGAGGAGAACATTACCCTCGAGCTGCTGCTCGAGACGGCCATTCTCCGGGTACTGGTGCGTTTCGGCTTCCTCTCTCAGGAGTGGCGTGGGACGGAGATGCGGCCCCAGGCGCAGGTGCCCCTGGAGGGGAGAAGGAGAGGAGATGCCCCCGGCCGGAGCGCCGGTGCCCAGTGAGGGGGATGGCGCCCTCTTCCTCCTCCAAGAGGAGGAGGAGGAGGAGGAAAAAGAAAAAAAAGGCGGAAGTGATGGGGGGGGGAGCGAATGCTGCCTCCTTGGACCCCCTGGCTTCTACACCGGGGAACCGGGCCTACCGCGGGATCTCACCGACGTCCTGCGATGAGCGGTCTCCGCTCCTACCGCTGGCCCAGTCTTGGAAACCTGGGCCACGGGGGTGAAGAGAAAAAGGGGGAGGACAGAAAAGGCCCCCCCTCCCCCAAGCAGTCTCCCAGGTGGCTCCCGGGACTATGCGGCGGCATCCGGCGCCGGCCCGGGACACGGATGGAAAAGGGAGAAAGGGCGGCCGGGGGGGATAAGAAGTCCTTCCTACCCCTCCCCAGACTCCCTCGCTCAGCCGCGGTGTCCGTGACGTGCCCCGCGGGCACGTACGCCGACGTGATGCGCCGAGCGAAGGAGGGAATAAATCTGGCTGATCTCGGGATCGGGGACCTCCGCAACAAGAGGGCGGCAATTGGTGCCCTGGTGCTGGAGATCTCTGGTCCCGAGGGCCACGCCAAAACCGACAATGAAGTCCCTCTTCGCCGGAAAGGAAGGTGTGCGTATTGCGCGACCGGCGAAGAGGGCCGAACTTCGGGTCCGAGACCTGGACGACGCGGTTACGGCGGAGAATGTCGTCGCCGCAATGGCGTCGTTTGGAGGGTACGGGCCCGGAGACGTGAGAACGGGAACGATTTGCGCCGGGGCCAACGGGTTGGGCACAATGTGGGTGCAGTGTCCATTGGCCTCGGCGAAGAGGATCCTGGACGGTGGCTGCCTCCGTGTAGGATGGGCCGCTGTTCGGGTGGAAGCCCTCGCGTGGCGCCCGCTGCAATGTTATCGTTGCATGCAGTGGGGTCACGTGAGGCCTATCTGCACTTCGGGGACAGACCGCAGTCAGGTTTTATGCCCCCCCTTCTTGGACCCGCGCCGATTTTGGGGCACTGCTGGACCAGCTGGAGGCGCTCATGATGAGGCGTCTCCCTAAGCCGGTCATTGTTTGCGGGGACTTTAATGCCCACAGCAAAATGTAGGGATCCCCGGGGACGTGGGTCCCCGCGGCGCGGGTTTCCAGGAGTGGGCTGCGTCCACCGGCCTCAGTTTGCAAAACAAAGGCCGGGAGAGCACCATTGTCGGGTGGCAGGAGGAGTCCATCATCGATTTGACATGGACCTCTCTCGCCGCCGCCCGACAGGTCCGGGGATGAAAAGTGGCGACTGAGGCGGAAACCGGCTCTGACCACAGGTACATAGAGCTTCGCCTAGTCGTCACTCCCCGGGAGGTGCTCTCAAGACGCAGCGAGGGGGTGGCCCGACCACACAGGTAGGCGCTAGCCTCGCTGGACCGCGACAAGTTTGTGGCCGCCATCTGCGCGTCTAATTGGGACGAAGCGGGACCCGTGGCTGGGTCCCGCGAGTCCATAGGGGGGAGGTAATGAGAGTCCGGGGCATGCTGAAGGACGCATGCGACGTTTCCATGCCCCGGTCCTCCCCTCCCACCCGCAGGGCCGCCTATTGATGGTTGGCGGAGATCGCCGAGCTTAGGCGCTCCGCCAGCCGCGCCTGGAAAGCGATGGCGACTCTGCGGAACAGGGACGCGCGGGTGGCGACCTCGGCCGTCCTCACGGCCAAAAGGACAGCCGTGAGAAAGGCCATCGCCAAGGCCAAGGCCCTGGCCTGGGAGAATCTCATCGAGCGTCCATACAGGATGGTCATGCAGCGTCTGTCCCCATAGGCGCCCCCGCTAACGGACACCCTGGACACCGGGCTCATTGACAGAATTGTGGAAGGGCTGTTCCCGAGGGTGAGAAACTGTATCCCACCCTACACGGGACTCTCTCCCGACTGGGAGGAGAGAGAGCTCGGGGTAACGGTGGAGGAGATGAGGCGAGCCGTCAAAAGGTTCGGCGCCAAGGGAAAGGCGCCGGCCCCCAACGGCATCCCAGGTCGCGTATGAGCTCTGGCTTTTGCCGAGGAGGGGAAGCCAGCATGATGTGGCTCTTCACCCTCTGCTTCGGAGCTAGCCTGTTTCCGGCCCCGTGGAAGAGGGCCAAACTGGCTCTCTTACGCAAGGAGGGCAAGCCGGAGGACACCCCTTCCGCATATAGACCGTTGTATTTTCTGGACTAGGCGGGCAAAATGTTTGAGAGGATCATACAAGCCCGCCTCGTCCGGCACCTGTCCTGGGATGGTCCCGCGCTGAACGACGCGCAATTTGGCTTCCGAGAGGACAGATCGACAGTGGACGCGATCAAACGCGTTAGGTCTCTCTCTGAAGCCATCGTGGAGGGGGGGGGACTGGCGTTGGATATCTTAATCGACATAGCCAACGCCTTCAACACCATCCCCTAGGACCAGGTAGAGGCGGGGCTGGCACATTTCGGATTTCCGCCCTACCTGGACCACATCATCAGGGACTATTTCTGGGACATGGCAATTGGAGTTCCGCAATAATACGGAGCTCCAGTGCCGAAGGGGGTGTACTGCGGTGTTCCACAGAGGTCAGTAATCGGCCCCTTATTGTGGAACTTCGCGTACAACCAGGTTTTTCGAACTGCCCTCACCCCGGCTGCCGTGTCGTGTGCTATGCGAACGATATCTTGGTGCGGGGGACGGGGCTGGAAGCAGGCCAGAGACATGAGGCAACTGGCCCTCGACCAGGTGGTGCACTCCATCCGGATCATGGGCCTCGAGGTGTCTCCCCCGAAAACGGAAGCTTTGTTCTTCCATGACGGGAGCAGGGGGAGATCGCCTGAAGCTCCGGATTGGCGGGATCTCCGTGAGGGTGGGCACCGAGATTAAGTACCTCGGGCTCACCCTGGATGGCACTTGGGGGTTCGAGAAACACTTCAAGGTGTTAACCACCAAGTTAGGCAGGATGGCAGGCGCGCTGGGAACCCTCCTGCCCAATGTCGGCGGCCCATAAAGGCGGGCTAGGCGGCTGTTCGCGAACGTGGTCCACTCGGTGGCCTTGTACGGGGCCCCGGTCTGGGCGGGGGAGATGGCCGGATCCCGGCGGATCAAGCAAATGGTCCGCCGGGCCCAGAGGTTCATGGCCACTCACCTCGCCCGTGCCTATAGAACCACGTCGCACGCGGCCGCCATGGCCCTGGCAGGAATTCCCCCGGTGGAGCTCCTTGCAATGATGTACGCTGAAAATTATCGGCGTACGAAGGAGCTCCTCGGGAGGAGCAACAGAATAGGACTAGCCAGGGCCATAGTCCTTGTCAGGGAGTAGGCCCGTTAATGCCTCCTTTTCCGCTGGAACATCCAGCTGGGGGAGGCAACGGGTCGCCATCCGGCCCCGCCTACAGGAATGGGTAAGTAGAGCCCAAGAGGAGCTCACGTTCCGGACGACATAGGTACTCACCGGCCACGGGTGCTTCAGTGAGTACCTCCATAGGGTCGTCTGGAAGGAGTGCACTAGCCGCTGCCACAACTGCGGTGCGGCTGAGGACACGGCACAACATACGCTGGTCGAATGCCCGGCGTGGGACGCCGTGTCCTCATAAGCGGTGGGAGCGGACCTCTCGCCCCCGGCCCTTATTAGGTCCATGCTAGGGAGACGAGAGGCCTGGTCAGCTGTCACTTCCTTCTGCGAAGAAGTAATGTCGCAGAACGAGGAGCAGGAAAGGGCCAGACGGGGGGAGAAAATCGTGCGGACTCGCCACGCCCCCCGCCCTCGGCCGGCGCTGCGGGGAGGGTAGTCCCCTCTCCCGGGTCTGCGCCCAGCGGCCCGCCTCCCCAGAAGAGGGGGCAGGCCGAGGAAAGACGCCAGAGGAAGGAGGTCGCCGTCGCAAGGGCAGCTGAGGCTCGCAAGCGGCGGCTTCAGTCCCTCCGTCTGCGACCGGCGCCGCCAAGGTATGGAGGCGGCGCCGGGAGCGGCTGGCGAAGGAAAGGGAGCATGGTAATGGCGGTGCGCGCTCTTCCTTCGGAGGGGGGGAGCATTGCAGGCGCACTCGCCACCGCCCTCCCTCTCTCCTGGAAGAGGAGGGTCCTGACCGCGTGGGGGGAGGGAGCCTCTGTAAGCCTGCTCCCCTCTCCCCCCAATAAGCCGGTTGGGACCCTGGAACTTGGGGCGGGAGACCGGGTGACGAACCGACCCCACTCCCTCCAAGGAGGAACGGGCCGCACAGCGTGGGGTCCCGCGCTGCGCGGCTACATAACGGTAACAGGACGGAGGGCATACCTCCGTTGCCCCCCCCCCCTCTTTGGGGCGGCGGAGGCAGGTGTCGCTAGATTCAGCGGCACCTACCCTCCGGCCCGAGAACGGAAGGCGTAAAATTTTGTTGTATTATTTCGTTACAATTGTTCATGTAGCAAATAAAGCAATTTTTTTGTAAGGCAGGAAAAATGCATTACGCACACCCCCCGGGGGTTGACGACCCCTCGGGAGATAGTGTGGGACTTTTCCCCCCCGCGCGCTCGAAACCACAGACTGGGAGGGCCTACCCACTAAAACCGCTCCGAGTCCCTTTCTCGGCGGCCATAACAAGGGCGTTCCGGGTAGCTTTTTTCCCTTCCGGCTGGCAGCCGAGGCCGCCCCGGAAGGATGCAAAAAGCTATCCGGAACGCCCTTGTTATGGCCGCTGAGAAAGGAACCCGGAGCGGTTTTAGTGGGTAGGCCCTCCCCGTCTGTGGTTTCGAGCGTGCGGGGGGGAAAAGTCCCACACTATCTCCCGAAGGGTCGTCAACCCCCGGGGGGTGTGCGTAATGCATTTTTCCTGCCTTACAAAAAAATTGTTTTATTTGCTACATGAACAATTGTAACGAAACAATACAACAAAATTTTTCCACTTAACCATATTCTCTAGATTCTAGATAATAATATAATATTACAAATTGTGACAAACATTAAAAAATAATACTTTAATAATATTTAATGTTAACTAACTGTTCTATAAATCTATTGAATATTGTATACTTTCAGTATTTTTAACTTCTATATTCAATTATCATTTTAAGTTTAGAACTTTTTAGTTGCTATATTCATATTTAGTATCTCAAAAAACGCATACATATCTAATTTGGAGTAAATATATTCAATATTGTATGTGAACTATAACATTCAATATCATTTCAGTACTTTTGACAATCATTTTTCGTCTGCTATTTTGAACTCAAGATGTTTTTCAAAAAAAGGGCAGTTTCAAGTTATAAAGCATTTCATTACGAGTAATTTGAAAAAAAAAACAGATTTGAAATCAATTGAGAATTGTCGGTCGATTTTTGTCCAAAAAATAAGCCTTTTGCCCACTGTGCACCGCCGCCGCCGCAACTATAAGCCACTTCCGCCGCCGCGCGCCATCTTGCTCTTTTTTAAACAAACATTTGTTTGTTGTCAAGTCAGTCGCACGCGCGCCATCTCTAATTGCGCGCAGTTTAACACTTCGTTCTACTATTTTTCCTTCTTTATCGCGCACACACGTTCGGTTAGACCGCCGCGCACCATCTCTCTGTCGCGTCGTGTCGATAACACTCGATCAGCTAACAAATTAAGAAGTTCACTCACGGATCCTCTCCCTGAGGTCCGGGAGGTGTTCGGCTCCCCGCTTGCCTCTGTGCTTCCGCGTCCACCGCTTGCGCTTTCTCCACGAGCTCACCGCGATCCGCCCTGCCTCGTCTCCCATTGCTCCCAGGCTTAGAGAGCCTCTATAATGATATACTAATGATTATCATGAAATTTACGAAAAAAAATTTAGTTCGCCCCGTAGGATATGTCAAATTGTGCAATTTTTAGGAGACGTCTTTACTTTTGAAAAGACTGCGAAAAGGGGAGAGAGTAAATTCAAAATCGGATGAATGCTCCTTAAAGTACAGATTTCACTCTTTAAAATAAAAAGAGGAAATTTTAAAAATACGACAATATTTCGCAGTATTACGCCCGTTTAAAAAATTACGCTAAATTTCGACATGAATTTACCCTAACAGCACAAATGTCCAGAGGACATCCAAAGTACATCCTGAAAAAGTCCTGAGGACATTTCTT